AGCTGCTCCTCAAAATCCTATACAAGGTCTCTATGGATCAGAACCAACTCGAAGGTACTTAACAACAACAACAATTGCATTAGGCAAATCTGCTGTACAAGATCTCTTAGAGTGCTCAAGAGCAAAGATGTCAGTTTGAGGATCAAGGTGCGCCTGACACAAGCCATGGTATTTTCAATATGTGTGCGAAAGTTGGACAGTGAATAAGGAAAATCATAGAATTGATGCATTTGAGTTATAGTGTTGAAGTAGAATATTATAAGTACCATGAACTGCCAAAGAACAAATCAATCTGTGTCAGAAGAAGTACAACCAGAATGCTCCTTGGAAACCAGGAAGGCCACACTCTCAAACTTTGGACATATTGTCAGGAGAAACCAGACCCTGGAGAAGGATTTCATGTTTGGTAAAGTGGAGGATCAGAGAAAAAGGAAGACCCCCAACGAGATGGATTGGCACAGTAGCAGCAGCAGTGGGCTCAGACATATCAACAATTGTGAGGTTAATGTAGGACCAGGCAGTGTTTTGTTCTGGTGTGCATAGGGTCATTATGAGTCAGTACTGACTGGATGGTACCTAACAACAACAACAGCTCAACTCACAATGTAAGGAAAATATTTTTTTAAACTTTTTTTTTTAAATTTCAAACTTATTCAAATTAACATAGTTCATCCACATATAATCCAGCACAAAGCTGAAGTGAATTTTGCCAATTTTTTTTTTCCCAAAAAAATAAGTGTATCACACAAAACTTAGCAAATGTACTAATGGCATCAGGATATTTACAAAGGTAGCACTGTGTTGGCAGCAAAGAGCTGGTTTGTCAACTTTCATTGTAAGACTGTCTAATAGTCTTCAAAATGACATGCACAAATTTCAGGTGTCACAAACAATTCAAATGTCATGTTGTAAAAAAGAATAAAAAACAAAGCTTCTCACTGCAGAAACCAGATTTAATCAAGGACAAAAATCATATCTGATTCAGAGTTTCTATTTATCCCAGTCTGTACTGAACCTGTTTGATGATTCAGTGATAGTTTTCAATGACTCAAATGCTCTCACAGTGTCATGAGGAATGGAGCGTTAAGCTACTTTCATCAAGTCTGGTAGAAAACAAACAATAACTAGAAGCAATCTCTAGGTAGTTTGAAGCAGCACCTCTAGAATCACTCCAATCACTATCAAATTAACCACTGAGTTGGAAGATACAAGTAGAGGCATCAGTCATGCATAACTTTTTACAAATTAGTCAATCAGAGGCATGTCGGTGGAAGATGATAAAGGCAGGTAGAAGAAAAAAATCCTGTTTACTTTGATTTCTTGATTGCTGCTTCCATGAGTATTGTTCCTGGATCCAAGCAAAATTAAGTCTGAAAGTTTCAGTCTTTCCACTGTTTATCGTGATGGTATTTATTGGTCCAGTTGTAAAGATTTCTGTTTTCTTTACATTGAATTGCACAAATCCATACTAAAGATTGTAGTTTTTTATCTTCATCAGTAAGTAATTTAAGTCCCCTTTGCTTGCAGCAAGCAAGATTGTATCATCTGCATATTGAAAGTTGCTTAATGAGTCTTCCTCCAAACCTGATGCCATTTCAACCATGTGCACAGCAGAACCAAATACAGCCTGGTCATGAACCATCTTCACAATTGCTGTTATATTTGAGCACACTTTTGATGTCACTGTGTCAATCCACCTCATTGAAGGTCTTCTCTTTATGCTGACTTTTCACTTTACCGAGCATGGTGTCCTCCAGGTCCTGGTCCTTTCTTAAAACATGTGCAAACTACAAAAGAGACTTCTAAGGATCATTCTGACTGTACTTCTTCCAACACAGACTTGTTTGTTCTTCTGAATGTCTATGGTACTTCAAGTTTTCTTCACAAACTCCATAATAAAATTGCATCCATTTTCTATGGTCTTCCTTATTCATTGTCCAACTTTCACATGTACATGAGGAGATTGAAAATATCATATCTTGAGTCAGACACTCCTTAGTCCTCACAGTGACATCTTTGCTCTTATACTTTAACAGGTCTTTTGCAGCAAATTTGCCAAATGCCGTACATCATTTGATTTGTTGACTACTGTTTCCCTAAGTATTGATTGAAGATCCAAGCAAAATAAAGACTTTGACAACTTCAATACTTTCTCTTTTTATCATGATGTTAATTTTTGGTCCAGTTGTGAGGATTTTCATTTTCTTTACATTGAGTTGCAGTCATTGTTCTTCATCAGTACGTGTTTCCAGTCCTCTTTACTTCCAGCCGGCAAGCTTGTGTTATCTGCATATCTGACGTTGTTGCAGTTGAATGCCATTGTGTCAGCTCCAATTTAAATTGACTCAAAGATTTCCAAGGAGCAGCTGGTGAGTTTGAACCACCAACCATGGGGTTCAAACTGACCTTGTGGCTTAGTGCTTATCCTAAAACATCACACCAGAACTCACAGGTTGTTAATGAGTCTTCCTCCAGGCCTTATGCCACAGTCTTCTTCATATAATCTAGCTACTCAGATTATTTGCTCAGTATACAGATTGTCAAAGAATGTTGAAAGGATACAATGCTGAGACACACCTTTCCCAATTTAAAACTATTCAGCATTCTCTTTTCGGTTTGAATGACTACCTCTTAGTCTATGTATCAGTTCCTCATGAGAAGAACTGAGTGTTACAGAATTCCTTTTCTTTGCAATGTTAGCAATAGTTTGTTATGACTCACACAATCTTTGCATAATCAATAGTGTACAAGTAAACATCTTTCTGATTTTCTCTGCTTTTAATCAAGATTCATCTGATGTCAGCAGTGATAGCTCGTGTTCCACATTCTCTTCCTAATCCAGTTTGAAATTTGTGCAGTTCCTGTTAGATGTCCTGCTACAACCATTTTTTAATTATCTTGAGCAAAACTTTACTTGCATGTGACATTAATGATCTTGTTCAATGATTTCCCCATTCTGTTCGGTTACCTTCCTTTGGAATGGGCAATAATATGTATCTCTTCCGATAGCTGTCTTCTAAATTTCTTGACATAGAAGAGGAGTGCCTCCAGGGCAGCATCAGTTTGTTGATGGAATTTTTATACCATCAATTTCTGCAGCCTTGTTTTTTTTCCAGAACCTTTGGTGCATCTTGGACATGTTTTTTCAATATCATTATTTCTTGATTGTATGCCTCTCCTAAAGTGGTTGAACATAGGCCAATTCTTTTATGTACAATGGCTCTGTCTTTTCCTTCCATCTTCTTCTGATGCTTCCTGTTATTCAATATTTTGTCCATAGAATTTTTCAGTATAGCAATCCAAGGCTTGAATTTTTGTTCTTCTGTTTTCTCAGCCCGAGAAATGCTGAGCATATTGTTTCCTTTTGACTTTCTAACTCCAGTGCTTTGCATATTTCATTATAATACTTTACTTGGCCTCTTGAGCTGCACTTTGAATTTTTCTGTTCAGTTCTTTCACTTCATCATTTCTTTCAGTTGCTTTATCTTCTTTACATTCAAGAGCAAGTTTCAGAGGCTCTTCTGGCACCCATTTTAGTCTTTTCTTTCCTGTCTTTTTAATCACCGTTTGCTTTCTTCATGAATGATGTTCTTGATGTCATTCCATAACTCCTTTGGTCTTTGATCATTAGTGTCTAATGCATCTGTTCTTGAGACAGTCTCTAAATTCAGGTGGGATATACTCAAGATCAATTTTTGGATCTCATGGACTTGTTTTAATTTTCTTCAGCTTCAGCCTGAATATGCATATGAGCAATTGGAAGGTGTGTTCTGCAGTTGGCTCCTGGCCTTGTTTTGGTTGTTGATGTTGAGCTTCTCCATTGTCTCCACAGATGTAGTCAATTTGATGGCTGTACATCTAATCTCACCAGCTCCATGTGAATAGTCACCATTTATATTGTCAAAATGTATTTGAAATTACTATGTTGTTGGTCTTGCAAAATTCTATCATGTGATTTCCAGCATTGTTTCTACCATCAAGACTATATTGTTCAATTAGTGATCCTTCCTCTTTATTTCCAACTTTTGCATTTCAATCACCAGAAATTATCCATTCATCTTGACTGTGTGTTTGATCAATTTCAGACTGAAGTAGTTAATTGAATTCTGTTTTGTTTTTTGTTTTGTTTTTTATCATTGGCCTTAGTGATTGGTGCATACATTTGAATAATAATGGTATTAACTGGTTTTCCTTGTAGGTTTATTGGTACTAACCTATCACAATAGCACTGTATTTCAAGCTAGTTCCAATGCAAGTTAGCATTGACTTGATGGCAGTGGATATAGTGTTATCTACATCATTACCTGATCTATCACTTAGAGAAAAAATCAATTACTTCAAATTAAATAAGTATATAATTGAATTCCCTCCAAAATATCAACATCCATTAAGAAAGCAGTATGTATGATTATTGTGATACTTACATATTTGGTTTCTCGACCAGCTGCTCTTGGAAGAGTTGCAGGCATCTATATGAAAATAAAAATAATTTTACTAGTGAAATAATAAACACTAAGTGATGCAACTTCTTAAGCAATTGTTCATCCTGTCCTCTGTTCAGACTTCCTAGCCATTGCTCCTTTTTTTTTCTATAAAATCTTCATTCCTATGAAAATAACTTCATTGAAGAATACCATTTGATTTTCCTTTATTACTGTTATTTATCAGATACATGATATTTTTCCATTATTTATGGCTGAGGTTAATTCATGCATTACATTTGTTTCTTTTCCCTATAATGTCTTATTCCTATAATGTCTTTGGTAATTCATCTTATTCCTATAATGTCTTTGGTAATTTTTAAATTACCAAAGTCTCTGTGCTTACAATTCTTTGAGCTACTCAATCACAAAGATATTTTTGCCCATACTCCTTCAACTTTCACTCCCATGACCATTCCTAGGCACTGTCATCAATAAAATTCAAAACTTCTGAAATTCCTACCTCAAACAGTCTAGTCAGAGCACTCTACTTCTTATCTGCCAGCTTCATTTCTTAAATATCCACATGAAACATTTTGTGGCATAAAGTGCCAGATATTTATTACCATATTTTATATAAATAACATGCACATTATATAATATGTTTTTGTTTTTGTTTTTGCAAACCATGCAACACTCTCATGTATTAGTTTTCTATGCATACTATTAGTGTTTTATATGTGTGGCATTATTTATGTGGGGATATTATACAGGAAAATACAGTATTTCACAGTTGCTGAGGATCAGAAATCCAGAAGTGGCATGAGTTTAGAAGGCTGTCTCCGAGTCTTCCATGAGTTTATAGTCCAGATGTCAACTGGAGATCTGGGATGGCTGTCATCTCAGGACTCAACTAGGGCTGAGGAATCCACTGTAAGCTCACTTATATGATTGTAAGTTTCAGTTCCTAGCTGGATTGAGACTTCTATTCTATGCCACATGAGCCTCAACATAACAGAGTGAGAAATCCAAGAAAGAGAGAAAAGCTAGATATCGAAGATAGAAGCTGCAGATATTTATAGTCTAACCATCGCCTCTACTGTACCACAGAGCATTTCTTCAACTTCAAATCACTGACTTTCACCAGCTTCATTCTGGCTTTTATTATCTCTTAACTTTCATAGATTTTATATTCTAATTCATTTGAATACTTCAATTATTTTGCCTATCCAAATAATGTGACAACTCACCTGCAAGAAATGGAATTAACCCTGAATGGCTCTTTCCATCTACTTACTCCATATTTGCACCTAAAAAGCATTCCACATGGCTAGAAATTCTCTCATCCAGTGAATGATTTCATTTTAAATTTATAATGCTCACCTTTGAGTGGACACTCAATACTGTCTGATAATGCCACAATTTTTCTTTTGTAGGCCCATTTTCACACTTTTTGAGATGAAGTGGCTATTTCTTTTGATCATTTATTCAATAAATATATTTTGGAGTATGTATCATGCACACACACCCAACCCTGATTTCAATTTTAAAAAAAACCAAAACTCTTAGAAATCTAAAAATAAAAAGCAACTTCATCAAAATGGTGAACAGCACCTATGAAATACATGTAATTAACATCATATTTAGAATCCTGGTGTGGCACAGTAGGATAAGCATTGGACCATGAGGTCATTTGAATGAATAGCAAAGTTGGTGGTTCAAAGTCACCAGTCATTCCTTAGAAACAGGGTCGCTATGAGCTGAACTGACTTGACTGCACTTAACAACAACAATATCATACTTATTCCAGAAAGAGTTAATATCATTCTTAATACTGAAAGCTTTCTTCCTATAATTAGAAATGGAATAAAAATGTTTCCTTTCAGCACTTCTACTCAGCATTGTACTGGTGGTTCTAGCCAATATGATCCAGCAAGAAAAAGAAGTAACAGGAATTCAAATGAGAATGAAAGAAGTAAAATTTTCTTTATTAACAGACAATATGATCATTGTCAATTTAGATAGTTTGATAGCATATACTTTTAAAAGTTACTCAAAGTAATGGATTATTAAGGCTAAAAATACAAAATCAATATAAAGTACTTATTATACTTTATATACTGACAATAGTAATTAGAAAGTGAAATTTAAAATCACCATTTAAAATAACATCAAAAATAAGAAACTGGGATACATCTAACAAAGAAGTGTAAGACCATGTATGGTTTATCCATTCCACTACAACATAAAATGAAAGCATATGTCCATACAAAGTCTTATTTTGAAACGTTCTGAACAGCTACATTATTACTAACTCCAAATTGGAAATTACCTAATTATCCATCAGTTGGTCAACAAACAAGTATATTATGGCACATCTATACAATAGAATGGACTCCTGGTGTGGCATTGTGGGATAAGCTAAACTCAAAATCAGTCATTCAAATCTACCAGCTGTTCCTCGGAAACCCTGTCTAGGGTTGCTATGATTTGTGATTGACTCGAAGGCACTCAACAACAACATACAGTAGAACACTATTTAGTAAAAAAAGAAATGAACCATGGATACATGCAACAATATAGATGAATTTCATATGTCTTCTTCAGTATTAAAAAGCCAAGCTCAAAAGACTACATACTGCATAATTATGTTCATATGACATTCTTGAAAAGAGGAAAGTACAGGGGCATGAAATAGATCATTGGAGCCTAGAATTTGGGTTGAACAAAGAAATAGTTTAGAAAGGAATTTAAAAATGGTTGATATCTTGAATGCAGTGGTGGTTTCCATAGCCATATGTTTGTCACCATACATAAAACTATACACTAAAATGTATGAGCTTTTCAAAAGGTAAAGTATGCCTCCCTAAAGGACTTCTGGTGTGGTGCTGTGGATCAGCACTGGACTGCAAACCACAAGGTAAGCAGTTCAATCAGCTGCTTCTCAGAAACCCTACCCTGGATCCTATGAGTTGGAGCCAACTCATTGGCATTTAACAACAAAAACACCTCTTTAAAAGACAAAAAAGAATAAGAAGAAAAAATGCTATGTAAGCTACAATAAAGACCTTAATATAGGGTTGAAGAACAGAATGAATACTGAACAATTTCTTGAACTATAATATCAGATCAAGGAATTCCCCTGAAAGAATTAAGCAGTGATAAATTGAAGAAAAATGTCAAGGTTACAAGATATGTAATACAGAAGCAAAACTGACAAAATCAGCATTTTTGGAGTCCCAGAAAGAAAGACTCACTTGAAGAAATAATGACTAAAAATCATCCAGACTGTGAGGGGGAAAAAAGATGAAGACTTCAAATGAAAGGTCATAGAGAGTACAAATCATGATGGGTACTGAAGGAAAAACAAAAACAAAAACACAAAGCCCACTTTTAGCTATATTACAGAGAAACAAGTAACATCAAAGATAAAGATAAAATTCTACAGGCTTACAGAACCATTCTGTAAATGATAACTGTGTAATCGAGGAATTAATAGCACACTGACAAAATATTTTTCAAGGATATTGTTGAAGTAAAAGAGTTCAGGAAATAAACAAACTAAAAACATGTTGAATGAAAAGGACATATCATTTTATGTTTGGCCAAACTATAATTTAAGGGAAAGGGAAAAATAAAGATATTCTCAGGGACAAAAGAAAACAGAATCTATACATGGACTACTGAATACAATTTTCAGCAAGATGTCAACAAGAAGAAAAATATTTCTAGTAGGAAAGTATGAATAGTGGGAAAAAATAATTTTAACAAAAAAAATCAACAAAAATTATCATCATAAAATTCAGATTTAAATTACAAAATTACAAATATTGTGTGCATAGGTGTGTGTTTATATGCATTAAAAACAAATTGCAGAGGGTGGGGCTTGCTGGCAGATAGGGTAGAAGTACAGGGAGGATCTCCATCAGCAATAACACAGAATACCAGATTAAGCAGTTTCAGGGAATAGTTCCAAAACACTATACCACATATATAGGAATATTTAAAAAGTTTGAAGGCATATAGCCAGTGGAATTTGAAGCAGAAGAAAGAAATCTCATATTTTCGAACCTGCCAGGCTCAGTGGCAAGTAGTCACCATTTGGGGCAAGACCAAGTGGCAGGACCAAGAGGGGGAAGGATCAGAGCTACCACAGATTGACACCTGCTAGAACCTTGGAGATAAAGATGTGGAATTTCCATTTATTTATTTATTTACTATGTATTTATTTATTTATTTAGTCACTCATTCATTCATTCATTCATTCATTTATTTATCTGTTTATTGGCCTCTTGCTCTAGGTACACCTCCATTTAATGACTAAAAGGAGTGCCTGAGCGAGTGGACACCCCACCTTCACCTCCAGAGGGTTCTACTATGCATGCATACAGATCCTCTCAACATTTAAAGGAACAGATTCCACTTAAAGTCAAATGGCAGCACAAAACAGCCACAGCCAGCCCTGAAGTATTTATCACTAGGATAAAGGCCAGAATGGGGGTTGTGGAGCAGGAGAGACAGTCTAAAAACAAAACAGGCTGAAAATTAAATCTTGAGTTACATCATAACAACCAGCAGTTGTTGTTGTTGTGTGCCATGGAGTCAGTTCTAACTCATAGAGATCCTTGTACAGGGTTTCCGAAGCTGTAAATCTTTACAGGAGCAGAAAGCCTCATCTTTTTCCTGCTGAACAGGTGGTAGCTTCGAATTGCTGACCTTGTGGTTGGCAGCCTGATTCGTAACCACTACGCTACCAGAGCTCTTTAACAACCAACAGTGACATCTTGAAATTTCTCAGGCAGCCTTGAAGATGCAAAAAGGATATGAAAGTCATACTCATATTAGACTAAAGATTTTTTTTTCTCTTCTCTCTTTTCTGAGATTATAGACTACAGTATCCAGTCTGTATGTTTTTGCTGTTGCTATTTTGTCTTTTGGTCCCCTCTTTACCTTTAGGGGTCTCATTCTCTCCCAAGAAGAGACAGCAATTGCTGTCATATAGTCAAGCTACAATAACACTCCATAAGACCCCATAATCCAGGCAAGAA